GTTCCTCTCACATCTTAATCCCAAACTGATAAGAAATGTCCGTTGGCACAAGCATTCCTTATCTAAACTCAGCAGCCTGGATTGTTGTTAGCCCTACAGATGTAGGATATTAATTTGATCACACAAACATGTAGTGTATTCAAGGTTTAAAAAGGCTTCTGAAGTTTGTAATTTCCACTCTAAAATGTCGGTCTTGATTTTCCCTAACGAAAAATGTATGAACTCCTTATTTTCTTTCTCCATTTAATTATAATCAACATAATAATTCACATTATCTGTTGCTACAGGATTATTCTCATGCTGTATCAAACTGGCTCAAATTAAGATCCTACATCTGTATGTCTAAGAAATTGCAACAGAAAACCCCATAAGATCTCTATATTTGTAATCCCTTTACATCGCCTTGCTGGCATAGCCAATGTAATTAGGGAAGAACAACCCAATAGTTAGGGCAGTGGCTTTGGTAACTATAAATCATATTCTGCTTTTTAATTTGTGGATATGATGCTGACCAAATTCCATATTTAGCCCAGCTTTCCCACAAACCCATTTAGCTACATTACTCATATTTCCTGAGAAATATTGTATGTTTTTTGAAAATGTTTGAAGCAAAATGAGGGAAAACAGGAAGACTTCAATTTAATTTAGTAAAAACCCCAGCTTTCATATTCTAATGCCTTGTTCTCTCTCTCTCTCTCTCTCTCTCTCTCTCTCTCTCTCTCTCTCTCTCTCTCTCTCTCTCTCTCTCTCTGTCTCTCTCAATTCAATTTCAATTTCAATTTAAGGGCTTTATTGGCATGGGAAACGTATGTTAACATTGCCAAAGCAAGTGAAGTAGATAGTAAACAAAAGTGAAATAAACAATAAATTTACATTACATTTTTGTCATTTAGCAGACGCTCTTATCCAGAGCGACTTACAGTTAGTGCATACATTATATATTTATTTTTTCCCCCTGTGGGAAACGAACCCACAACCCTGGCGTTGCAAACGCCATGCTCTATCAACTGAGCTACATCCCTGCCGGCCATTCCCTCCCCTACCCTGGACCAATTGTGCGCCGCCCCATGGGTCTCCCGGTCGCGGCCGGCTACGACAGAGCCTGGATTCAAACCAGGATCTCTAGTGGCACAGCTAGCACTGCGATGCAGTGCCTTAGACCACTGCGCCACTCGGGAGACTGAGTAAACTTGGGAGATATTAACAGTAAATATTACACTCAGAAGTTTCAAAAGAATAAAGACATTTCAAATGTCATATTATGTATATATACAGTGTTGTAACAATGTGCAAATAGTTAAAGTACAAATGGGAAAATAAATAAACATAAATATGGGTTGTATTTACAATGGTGTTTGTTCTTCACCGGTTGCCCTTTTCTTGTGGCAACAGGTCACAAATCTTGCAGCTGTGATGGCACACTGGTTTTTCACCCAGTAGATAAGGGAGTTCAAAATTGGGTTTGTTTTCGAATTCTTTGTGGATCGCTGTAATCTGAGGGAAATATGTGTCTCTAATATGGTCATACATTTGGCAGGAGGTTAGGAAGTGCAGCTCAGTTTCCACCTCATTTTGTGGGCAGTGTGCACATAGCCTGTCTTCTCTTGAGAGCCAGGTCTGCCTACGGCGGCCTTTCTCAATAGCAAGGCTATGCTCACTGAGTCTGTACATAGTCAAAGCTTTCCTTAAGTTTGGGTCAGTCACAGTGGTCAGGTATTCTGCCACTGTGTACTCTCTGTTTAGGGCCAAATAGCATTCTAGTTTGCTCTGGGTTTTTTGTTTGTTCTTTCCAATGTGTCAAGTAATTCTCTTTTTGTTTTCTCATGATTTGGTTGGGTCTAATTGTGTTGTTGTTGTTGTTGTCCTGGGGCTGTGTGGGGTCTGTTTGTGTTTGTGAACAGAGCCCCAGGACCAGCTTACTTAGGGGACTCTTCTCCAAGTTCATCTCTCTGTAGGTGATGGCTTTGTTATGGAAGGTTTGGGAATCGCTTCCTTTTAAGTGGTTATAGAATTTAACGGCTCTTTTCTGGATTTAGATAATTAGCGGGTATTGGCCTAATTCTGCTCTGCTCTCTCTCTTTCTTTCTCTCCCTCTCTATCTCTTTCTAAGACATTGGGTTTGTTGTAATTAGGTCATTTGATGTAGGACACACTCCCAGTGTAGTAGGCCTAATTGTCCTTCTGCCTCTGCTGAGGAACATTCAATGTTGTCTTTACATAACTGTGTCCCGGCAGTAGGAAAACTAAACCTTGAGTCATTTCTCAACACTTTTTTTGTTTTATTCTACTTTTTTATTTAAAATAAATGCACTGTTGTTTAAGGGCTGTAAGTAAGCATTTCACTGTAATGTCTGCACCTGTTGTATTCGGCGCATGTGGCCAATACAATTTGATTTGATTTGATGCGTTACTACGAAGGTGAAAACAAATTAGGCCCATGTGTCTCTGTCAGGGTACTACAGAGACAGGGTCAGTGTTTTCATAGGGAGTTTTACATACAGTGAAGTACTTAGAAAAAATCTTAGCTGATAAGTCTTTCTCTGTGAAGATAGGCTAACTCGTTGTGACTATTCAACAGACATTACCTCAGTGTTTGCTTCCTCAATTTCTGCAATTTCTCAATTTCATCTTTTCATATTTAAAAGCAGCTCTTAGTTTTTCCTCAATTTTGTCTCACTTCCTCATCTTGGAGTTCCGAACATGTCCTAGAAACATGAAACATGTTTTACAAACCTGGATATGATTTATGCATGTGACAATGGTTAGGCCTATCTAGCTGAGGTACAGTACCAGACCTGTCTGTGAAAAGGCCAGTGAGGATGGATGATATTCACACAGGCATGAGGAGAAGGCACTGGGCCCTAGCAACATCATATGACGGGCCACACAAACACACACACACACAAATACACAGTGCACACAGTGTGGTTAATCAGATAAGGCTGTAAGGACCTGCAGGCTTTCTCTAATTACAGTTCAATATAAAAAAGGTAGCAGTGGGAACTTTTCTAAGGAGACAACCACCTTCTATCGATCAGCAGACTGTTCCCGGCGCAATGGAACTAAGGGAAAAGTCCCAAAAGTGCAAACCCCTGCCCAACTGGAACTCCAGACCAGCTCAAACTATTTGAAATATTTCAAATACCATTTGAACTCAGATCTGGGTAGATGGTTTTGCTGTGAAGCCAGCTTGTTTAATGCCTGCTCAGGCTGCCTGTCATTATACACCCCAGGAGGTTGTGGGAAAGACTGGGCTAAAATATGAGGCGGGCTGCTTGTACCATGTCACGTTAAATGTACTAAATGCCTTATTATTATGCAGAAGTGCTCTTTGCTATTTAGTTCATTGTAGAGTTTAAGTACCTCGGAGAACCACTCAATTTGATTCTAAATGGGCCTAGTGCAATGTAAATGTTAACTTTAGGTCTATACTGTGTGCTGCAGTAAGTATAGGGTAAACGCTGAGGGAAATGCTGCAAGAATTATAATCATTTTGATCACTGCAACAGTGAGGAGAGAGATACAGACAGAATGGGAGTAAGAGAGTAGGGGGACATAGAGAGAGCGAGAGAGAGAGGAGCGAGAGAGAGGGAGAGAGAGAGCAAGAGAGTGGGAGTAAGATAGAGGGGGAGAGAGAGAGAGAGAGAGGGAGAGAGAGAGATATGTCTGCACTCAGCTGACCCCTTTTATTGATGGAGGACACCAAAGTGTAGGGTATCTCCGTTCACAGGCACTCTCACTCTAACATTGTGTGTGTATGTGTGTGTGTGAGTGTGAGAGAGAGTGTGTGTGAGAGAGAGTGTGTGTTTTATGCGTGTGCGTGTCAGTCAGTAATGATTGGGATACCCTTCCCTGAGACCTCACCTCCCCACCTTGATTCAAATCAATGAGTCAGTTCCACAGGGAGCAGTGGTACAGGTCATTACAGTAAAGAGTGGGGAAGTGCAGTCAGTGGCTTTCCAAGCTAAGAGCACGTACTTTTCCTTCAGTCAGTGACCACCTGCCTTCTCCGCACCCACTTGCCTACATCCTCTTTCATTATTCAGAAATGTTTTCACAATGTCTGTAATTTGTGACTAATAGACTCTGATCCCTGTGCTTTTTCAATCGATCTCACAAACATTTTAATTGTATATTGACGCCAAGCCACTCCTGTCTTTTTTTTCAGTATAATAGCCTAGTTTGAATCCCAACTGCAGTAAGGGATGGTATTGTATTGTTTACTTTTTTGTGCTTCAAAATGAAATGTTATATGATTGAATTCCAGTCTGCGTATTCCCCTAGTTAAGTGAATCCAAACCACCTACCACCAACTACAGCGCTGTGGTCTGGGTGTGTTGTGTTACATTTGATTTCCCAGTCCCAGTGGTGTGGAGGAAATCTGATTGGACAGGAGGCTGTGTTTTCTCAGTTCTGTAACAGGAAGTGTCCTGACCAGCGGGGGGCTGAAAGTCTCACTTCCTCAGCTGCCCTCTCACTCTGCTCAGACTACCTACTGTTGACTTGTGTCTTGAATGTCATGGCACAGGCTGAAATGCCATCAGTGGCAGCACCATATCCTCTAACCACCCATTCACTCTGTATTCTCTCTTCTCTCAGACACATAGGCCTACTCTCCCTTTCGCTTTACAATTGTACCAAATGTACCCAAGGTCTACTTGATTAGATTTAGGACTCTTTTCCTGTACATTATTTTGATGTGGCTCTGGAATACTTTGTCTAATGCTAAAGGCCATGTTTAATTGTTTTTATTGAAATAGACTAAATACAGTAAACCCGTACTGAATATAATCGTCATTTAGTTCTTCTTCATAATTTATACCAGCAGATGTCATAATGACTGAAGCATTTTTGTCATACCCATGTATCCATAATACTATTTATACCCTGTTCTCTCTCTCTCTCTCTCTCTCTCTCTCTCTCTCTCTCTCTCTCTCTCTCTCTCTCTCTCTCTCTCTCTCTCTCTCTCTCCTGTCCATCATAGGCTACAGGTATAGCAGAGAGCCATGCTGAAAGGGGGCTCTCCAAAGGTGGGGCTGCCTAAGCCAGGGCTTCAGGAGAGGGCCAAGCAAGTCTCCCTCGCCCTCTCTACCACCACCTCCACCACAGCTACAGGCATCAAGACATCCAGGTCCTCCAACACCCTGGCCACAGACCTTCGCCTCAGCAGAGTGAGTTATACCAGACAGGATAGGAGAGTAACTTCACACCACTGAACACACCCTACATCTCCTTAATGAATTGTGGGAGGTTGGAACTGGGGCAGGTGGGAGGGAAATGGGGGAATATACCACCCCTTTACTTTGTCTAAGAGCATCTCTGTCCATTTGGATAATTGATCATGTTAAATTCAATTAGTCTACCTCTGCATCTCCTGCAGACACTCTGACCTCGGTGGGGTGTCACAAAGGATAGACTGACAACATATCTCATTATAGTACAGTATGAGTGCTATTACAATTTCATACTAGTAGATTGTGTAGTTTACTAGTAGTTTTCCAATTGGTAAGGTAATCTGTGGTTTCCTAATCCCTGACTGTATGTATATTGAATGTGTATTTTATAGCTGAAGAGAGCCAGTAGTGATGACACCCTGGCCAAGCCTGCCCTGGGGGCAGCAGCCACAGGCTCCCGCATGAAGAAGACTGTCACTACAGGGGCCATCTCTGACCTGGCTGATGCAAGACCTCGCAGCCTCTCAGGTAGGGGGCCAAAGATCAGTACATAGACCACACACACAAGACACACCACAATTGTTTATGGTTAAATTCTAATGTATTATTTATGCAATGTATTCATAGTAAAATAATAACTTATCGTATCGCATTTTATCTAATCTTATATACTACTACTACTACAATGTAATTCAACATGGGTACAGTGCATTCACAGAATGGCTTCCAGTTTCTCCATTACCTCATCAGAAAAGAGCCACTGGTTTTAGAGCTCACACTCCCAAGCCTTTCTCCTCTCTTCTTGTATGAGTCTATCCAGGGTCTCTTTCACTGTCACTCTGTAAAAGAGAAACCTGTGCCTCACCTCCTTGTACAAGTCGACCAGGTGGCTCTGCTTCTGCTCAGGCAGGTGCTGGCTGTGCTCAAGGATGATACGTCCAGTACTGCTCACACTCCCAGAGACCCGGGCCATTCGCCTCCACCTGTGCTATGCATGCCATTCATGGCACAGCCTGGACAAGTCACTGGATATACAGCTGTAGGATCTTAATTTGATCCCACTTTTGTTGCTGAGAATTTGGAAATGCAAACTTGTAGTGTATTCGAGGTTTAAAAAGGCTCCTAAAGTTTGTAATTTCCACTTTAAAATGTCACTTGATTTACCCTAATGAAAAATGTATCAACCACTACAATTTTTTTCCAATTAATTATAATTATAGTTCACATTTTCTGTTGCTGCAGGATTATTTTCCTGCTGTAGCAAACTGGCTCAAATTAAGATCTCTAGTCACAAATTTTTTAGAACTGGATCGATCTTAGTTAGCAAAAGCAAGTCAGACTTGTAGTCTTGGGGTTGTTGCCACCAAAACTGAGTTCTAGTCAACATTTACGGCTAACTACCAAACATTCTAAACTCAAAACATTCCACTGAAGTTGTTCTATTCAATTGTGATATAATCTTATTCAAATTTCAGTATATTCGTATGATTTAGAATCACCATGGAAATGAAATAGAATGGTTTCAAATCAACACTGACTCTGAGCAACAAACATACAAAATTCAAACGTTCTATCATGCTTGGTTTGATAGATGAGGTAAAGGAGCCAATGGAATCCTGACCGTTCCATTGACCAGATTGGCGCGCATTCAACAAATCTGATCTAACAAAGTGGATATTCGTCAAATCCGTCATTACTTACAGTGAGGGAAAAAAGTATTTGATCCCCTGCTGATTTTGTACGTTTGCCCACTGACAAAGAAATGATCAGTCTATAATTTTAATGGTAGGTTTATTTGAACAGTGAGAGACAGAATAACAACAAAAAAATCCAGAAAAACGCATGTCAAAAATGTTATAAATTGATTTGCGTTTTAATGAGGGAAATAAGTATTTAACCCCCTCTCAATCAGAAAGATGTATGGCTCCCAGGTGTCTTTTATACAGGTAACGAGCTGAGATTAGGAGCACACTCTTAAAGGGAGTGCTCCTAATCTCAGTTTGTTACCTGTATAAAAGACACCTGTCCACAGAAGCAATCAATCAATCAGAGTCCAAACTCTCCACCATGGCCAAGACCCAAGAGCTCTCCAAGGATGTCAGGGACAAGATTGTAGACCTACACAAGGCTGGAATGGGCTACAAGACCATCGCCAAGCAGCTTGGTGAGAAGGTGACAACAGTTGGTGCGATTATTTGCAAATGGAAGAAACACAAAAGAACTGTCAATCTCCCTCGGCCTGGGGCTCCTTGCAAGATCTCACCTCGTGGAGTTGCAATGATCATGAGAACGGTGAGGAATCAGCCCAGAACTACACGGGAGGATCTTGTCAATGATCTCAAGGCAGCTGGGACCATAATCACCAAGAAAACAATTGGTAACACACTACGCCGTGAAGGACTGAAATCCTGCAGCGCCCGCAAGGTCCCCCTGCTCATGAAAGCACATATACATGCCCGTCTGAAGTTTGCCAATGAACATCTGAATGATTCAGAGGAGAACTGGGTGAAAGTGTTGTGGTCAGATGAGACCAAAATGGAGCTCTTTGGCATCAACTCAACTCGCCGTGTTTGAAGGAGGAGGAATGCTGCCTATGACCCCAAGAACACCATCCCCACCGTCAAACATGGAGGTGGAAACATTATGCTTTGGGGGTGTTTTTCTGCTAAGGGGACAGGACAACTTCACCGCATCAAAGGGACGATGGACGGGGCCATGTACCGTCAAATCTTGGGTGAGAACCATTGAAAATGGGTTGTGGATGGGTATTCCAGCATGACAATGACACAAAACATACGGCCAAGGCAACAAAGGAGTGGCTCAAGAAGAAGCACATTAAGGTCCTGGAGTGGCCTAGCCAGTCTCCAGACCTTAATCCCATAGAAAATATGTGGAGGGAGCTGAAGGTTCGAGTTGCCAAACGTCAGCCTCGAAACCTTAATGACTTGGAGAAGATCTGCAAAGAGGAGTGGGACAAAATCAATTTATAACATTTTTGGCATGCGTTTTTCTGGATTCTTTTGTTGTTATTCTGTCTCTCACTGTTCAAATAAACCTACCATTAAAATTATAGACTGATCATTTCTTTGTCAGTGGGCAAACATACAAAATCAGCAGGGGATCAAATACTTTTTTTGTCCGTTTTGGATATATTTGGCTGTTTTCGCTGCATAAAATATTGAAGTTTTCCTGTTTAACCTCTACGGGATCGGTGTCCCGTATACGGGACAGTTGAGCTAACGTGCACTAATGTGATTAGCATGACTGTTGTAAGTAACAGCAAACTTTCCAGGACATAGATATGTCTTATATGGGCAGAAAGCTTAAATTATTGTTAATCTAACTGCACTGTCCAATTTACAGTAGCTACAGTGATATAATACCATGCTATTGTTTGAGGAGAGTGCACAACAACAAAAAACATATCACGGCAACTGGTTTGATACATTCACCTCTGAAGGTAAATAATGTACTTACATTCAGTAATCTTGCTCTGATTTGTCATCCTGAGGGTCCCAGAGATAAAATGTAGCATAGTTTTGTTTGATAAAATCAATTTTTATATTCAAATGTAGGAACTGGGTTCTACAGTTTGAACCCTTGCTGTCTCTGGCTCCACACCCGGCCATCTAGATGTGAAAGTTAGTGTATAAGCTAATGATCCATTTTGTATGACATTCCTGGGAGTGTGTAAACCTACATTTTGTATTACCATATCATTTTTGTATATTCTCTATAGTTATGTACTTGAAAATGTATCAATTGACCAATTCGGCACATTTGGGCAAACTTGATACAAAATAGTCCAGTATTGCAATGCTTCACTGGATCAATTTGAAACTTTGCACACACACTGCTGCCATCTAGGGGCCAAAATCTAAATTGCGGCTAAACTGCAATTTTACATTGTGGCCTTTCTCTTGCATTTCAAAGATGATGGAACAAAAATGTTTTTAGAAAACGCATGTTTTTTGGTTTGTATTATCTTTTACCAGATCTAATGTGTTATATTCTCCTACATTAATTTCACATTTCCACAAACTTCAAAGTGTTTCCTTTCAAATGGTATCAAGAATATGAATATCCTTGCTTCAGGTCCTGAGCTACAAGCAGTTAGATTTGGGTATGTCATTTTAGGCGAAATTTGAAAAAAAGGGTCAGATCCTTAAGAGATTTTAAAAGAAGTGGTTGCTAAATGCCAACTCCCGTTCGTATAAGCAGGTTAACATAGCGAGTATACAGAAATCGGTGATGTTGGTAAAATCGTTTTTAACTGTAATGCAGTTGACTGGTGATGATGACATGAACATGTATTGGAGTTGACTTCCAAACAAGCATTATACTCCGATTTCTACCTCAACAGTGTGAAATACACAAATACAGTGCATTCGGAAAGTATTCAGACGCCTTGACTTTTTCCACATTTTGTTACGTTACAGCCTTTTTCTAAAATGGATTAAATAGTTATTTTCCCTCGTCAATCTACACACAATACCCCATAATGGTAAAGCAAAAACAGGTTTTTAAATGAAATATTACATTTACATAAGTATTCAGACCCTTTACTCAGTACTTTCTTGTGGGCACCTTTGGCAGCGATCACAGCCTCAAGTCTTCTTGGGTATGACGCTACAAGCTTGGCACACCTTTATTTGGGGAGTTTCTCCCATTCTTCTCGGCAAATCCTCTCAAGCTCTGTCAGGTTGGATGGGGAGCGTCGCTGCACAGCTATTTTCAGCTCTCTCCAGAGATGTTCAATCGGGTTCAAGTCCGGGCTCTGGCTGGGCCATTCAAGGACATTCAGAGACTTGTCCCGAAGCCACTCCTGCATTGTCTTGGCTGTGTGCTTAGGGTCGTTGTCCTGTTGGATGGTGAACCTTCGCCCCAGTCTGAGGTCCTGAGCGCTCTGGAGCAGGTTTTCATCAAGGATCTCTCTGTACTTTGCTCCGTTCATCTTTCCCTTGATCCTGACTAGTCTCCCAGTTCCTGCCGCTGAAAAACATTCCCACAGCATGATGCTGCCACCACCATGCTTCACCGTAGGGATGGTGCCAGGTTTCCTCCAGATGTGACGCTTGGCATTCAGACCAAAGAGTTCAATCTTGGTTTCATCACAACAGAGAATCTTGTTTCTCATGGTCTGAGAGTCCTTTAGGTACCTTTTGGCAAACTCCAAGCGGGCGTAATGTGTCTTTTACTGAGGAGTGACTTCCGTCTGGCCACTCTACCATAAAGGCCTGATTGGTGGAGGGCTGCAGAGATGGTTGTCCTTCTGGAAAGTTCTCCCATCTCCACAGAGGAACTCTGGAGCTCTTTCAGAGTGACCATCGGGTTCTTGGTCACCTCCCTGACCAAGGCCCTTCTCCCCCGATTGCTCAGTTTGGCCAGGCGGCCAGCTGTAGGAAGAGTCTTGGTGGTTCCAAACTTCTTCCATTTAAGAATGATTGAGGCCACTGGGTTCTTGGGGACCTTCAATGCTGAAGACATTTTTTGGTACCCTTCCCTAGATCTGTGCCTCGACACAATC